TAGCTAATGGGGCCTCCCGCTGCTGCCGCGCCGCCAGAGCACGATTTCTGTTCTTATCCTGAAGCAAAGTTCTTACCCTGAAGCACTATTTCTGGGTTAGCGGAGTGTGTAACCTGAAGCATATGTAACCTGAAGCGTATGTAACCCGAGGTACCACTGTACTTTATAGTTCTTGAAACAAGAGTAAGAAATAAATATATTAATGGATATATTTGCCAGTTTTCTTAATAAAGATTTAAGGTACTGCTTATAGATTTATGAATTCAGCTGGGTTTGCTCCGAGTAAAAAAAAAAAAGAAGGCGCCAGATCTAATTGAATTGTGTGGTTTTGTTAAAAGGGAGCAGTTCTTCCACGTCAACAACCAGAGACAGATGGTGGAGAGGGGGAAGCCCTGGAAAGTTGAATTTTCCCATGGCATCGCTCAGGGACGGGGAGGCCAAGGGGGGCCTCTGAGCTCGGGTGTATTTCCTCCTGCCTGACTGGCAAGCTTCTCCCACATTTCTAGGCTTCAGGGCGAGGATCTTCCAGAAAGCTTGAAGCCTCGGAACCGCGAGGCACCGCGCTGTCTCCTTGCTTGACAGCTCTGCTCATTTGCTTTGATGGCCTGCATGGCAATGACGCAAGTCTATGAACATGGGCGGGGGGCAGGAAGCGAAGTGTGGCTATGTAGAAATCCGCTTAAATATTAACAAAAAAGCGTAACGATTTCGAATTTGGGGTGGGGAGAGGTAACTACTCCACTTAGCTCGCGATCACAGACGTGGAATAAGCACGGGGGGGGTCCCCTTCTTATCCCGTGAGTTTTCTCCGGCTGCCGCCCCGTCTAGAGAGCATCCTCCGCGAGGGTCTGCTTTGAAGCTGATGCGGAGTCAAACCAATTCACGCCCCCCCCGCCTCTACTTTGTCTAGCAGCGGGGACCCCTGGTGGCCACTAGTAGAAGTAGTCTCATAATGAATACCTTAGGCTTCTACATGGTGCTGGAGGAGACTCTTGAGAGTCCCATGGACTGCAAGAAGATCAAACCTATCCATTCTGAAGCAAATCAGCCCTGAGTGCTCACTGGAAGGACAGATCCTGAAGCTGAGGTTCCAATACTTTGGCCACCTCATGAGAAGAGAAGACTTCCTGGAAAAGACCCTGATGTTGGGAAAGATTGAGGGCACAAGGAGAAGGGGACGACAGAGGACGAGATGGTTGGACAGTGTTCTCGAAGCTACCAGCATGAATTTGACTAAACTGCGGGAGGCAGTGGAAGACAGGAGTGTCTGGCGTGCTCTGGTCCATGGAGTCATGAAGAGTCGGACATGACTAAATGACTAAACAACAAGGCTTTTACAGGCAGGGGTCCAGTTCTCCAAAACGCAGGACTTGCCACTTTTGGAAGCGGGTGAAGTCATAGACACAGGCCCAAACAGAGGGGCCCCCATATGGGACACTTGTCCAGGGCCTCCGATTCCAAAGGGGGCCTCAGTCAGCATATTCACAAAATTATTTTTATACTTACCTATTTATAAGACTTCAGTTATCCCCAGGGTAAAAAAGGGAGGGGCACATTATCTACCTGGCCCGGGCCTCTGCCTGGCTCTGCAAGGCCGTGTATAGACATCACCATATTTTACAACTATATATATATCTTGGAGGGACGCGGGTGGCGCTGTGGTCTAAATCACTGAGCCTAGGATTTACTAATCAGAAGGTCAGCGGTTCGAATCCCCATGACGGGATGAGCTCCCATTGCTCGGTCCCTGCTCCTGCCAACCTAGCAGTTCGAAAGCACGTTAAAGTGCAAGTAGATAAATAAGTACCGCTCCGGCGGGAAGGTAAACGGCGTTTCTGTGCGCTGCTCTGGTTCGGCAGAAGCGGCTTCGTCATGCTGGCCACATGACCCGGAAGCTGTACGCCGGCTCCCTCAGCCAATAATGCGAGATGAGCCCTGCAACCCCAGAGTTGGCCACGACTGGACCTAATGGTCAGGGGTCCCTTTACCTTTTTATATATGTTGGGGTGTGTGGTGGGAGGTGTCCGACCATTAATGCCAGAGTTTGAACTTTTTAAAAAAACAACACAGGTAAAAAAAGCTCTTTTAAGGAGAGTTCCCAAGTCCTGCAGTGTGTGTCTGCATGCGAGGTTCTTGCTCCACCAGAGGGCAAGATCGTTGCCTCCGCTTCCTGCAGCGGGAGCTGCGTTTGCAAACCTGCCCTCCCCACCCGTTACTAGACAAGCATCAGCTACCCCCGTGCCATTGATGGTGGAGGGAACGTCGCCCCTCCACCCACCCAAGGCAAGAGCTCAGCGTTACACTCCGGAGCAAGAAATTGGCAAATCGTGCATGCAAAAAAAATAAAAAAAAATCCCTTCCTCTCGCCTCTGCGCATGCTCGGAAAGGGCTTCTCCGCCCGCCGCCCTCCCGCGATCACAATTGACAAGTTTCTCTGCTCTTCGCGATGCGCTCTTTCTCAAGGAGAAGCCATCGGTTGGTGTATTACGTCCGTATAGTAAAGCCCATCACCTTGCACCGAGAGACAGGTTATTTTTAGCAAATCAAAGCTAGATCTGCAGCCAACCAGCAAACACAGCAGTGCTGAGAAGCTGGCTTTTGCTTTTGCTTGCATTTAAAACACCCCCCCCACCCCACCTTAAATTCAACGACGTTATAATCTAGGACGGATATTTAGGTCAGAGCCTTTGAAGAGCCCGTTCCGCCGTCTGTTTCAATTACAGTTTCTGTCGAAAGTTTGTCCTATCTGATCGTCAGACGCCAAGTGGCTCCTCCTACCTACAATCTCAAACGACTGCAGCAAGGAGAGCAAATCAATTTATGTATCAGCGGAGGCTGGAGAGCTGGAGGTTTCAACCACCTCCCACGTAATCAAATTCCACGTGTCTGTCTTCGATCGCCCCGTCTCTCTCGCGGACGTCTTGGGCTCCCCACCTTTGCTTCATTTATGAAAGCTGGCAAGGGGCTATCGAGGCTCAGCCTGTCGCGATATTAATTATTTATTCTGACCTGGTTGCCCTCAGCTGAATACCACTGCTAAGCATTACTCAGAGTAGACCCACTGAGGTTAATGGGCCGTCCATTAATTTCAATGCTAACATTGCACTTAACATTCAACACTATCGTTGAAATTAACATTCAGTGCTAACATGTTTGATTTCAAAGAAAAGAACTTTGCACATGCTTGAAGGCGCTGCACAGTGCCTCTCAGGGTTCTTATAAACGAAACATAACAGCACCCTAAAATTTAGGGTGCCTCTCAGGTTTCCTAAAATCCAGGGTGCCTCTGGCATTTATACGAGCCTCAACACCACCCTAAAATCTAGGGTGCCTCTCAGGTTTCCTAAAATCCAGGGTGCCTCTCAGGTGCTATAGGATGGCGGTGTGTGTGCTAGCTTCCATTGAGAAGGTTTGGCATCTCATTCATATTTCCCCACCACCACCCCACTGACATCGCTTTCATTCATGTCCCTGCACAGCGTACGTTTTTCACGTGCTGGGATCCATGACTTGAGGTTCCCCAGCATTTTTGCGTAGGCATCGGTTCGGCATTGAATGCGCTGCTCCACGTGCGCGTAAAAATAGCTCCACGTCAGTCTGTCTCAGCGGAGAGGCAGTCGGGGTTTCGTCTCGCCGCGGGAGGGGGAGGAGGCGGAGGCGCGGAAGCCGCATGTATGCTCGCGGTTCCTTCATCTTAATCGGACTTTGAGACCTGCACATTTCTGTGGAAAGGTGACCACGTGCGCGCAACCGCTTCAGGGGGAGGCTCCCAGCGTAAATAAATAAATAAAAAACAAAAAAACCAGCTGGCGCACAAGCGCACCTTCTCGTCTCTCTGTATTATAATCCCCGCGTATTTGTGGTTGCAAGCCTCCGGCTCCCCATCTTGCGATTCAAATCCCCTCCTGTAAGAGGAAAGGATGCGATTGCATTCCTGAGCTCCAGCAAGTCCATTAAAGCTAGCGTGACAGATTGATTTTAATGAGTTAAAAGGACAATGGCCGCAGCTGCAAATCAAAGCTGCAAGCCCACGTTCCTTTACTTGGAAGTAAAGGCCATTGAACTCACTGGGACTTTCTTCCGAGTAAACAAGATCGGGCGGCGCGAGGGGATTCCCTCCTTATGGAACGCTGTATCCTTCGTTAGCGATTCCCATAATGACGTATGTGCGGGTTGCAAGGGAACACGGCAGTACAGTACTATTGCAAGATAAAAACACCTCCTGACAATCCTAAACCGCGAATCTTATAGACCCCACCTCCACGCCCGCTGTTTCATCGGCTTTTACATATGTATACTTGAAATTATGGTTAGAATTACTGCCTTACTTAGAAGGGCATTGCTATTAAAAATAAGCAGGCTCCACTTCTCCAGTCTTTAAGATGAGTGTACGCTCAAGGCTGTTATGTTTCAGAAACCGAAGCGTGCTCTTTAAAAATCTGTATCGACGCTTTACTCCAAATAAATATTTTAAGGAAAAGGAGCCGTAGTTTGTTTTAATTATTTTTTTATGAGGAACATATGCACGAAAGTCACATTCTCGAACAATAGGACACGTGGTCGCTAATACACAAGCGCACGCGAGAAACGTCTCCCCCCCAATCTCCCGCATAGTCCCATGACAATCGATAGCTGACCGGCGGCACCTCTCCCAGAGTTTGCATTTCTTAATGGCAGACCTCGAATGCGTTGAGATTTCCTTTCTGGAGCCATTAACCCAATAACACCGTGGCGCAACTATCCCTCGCGCTACTGATGCTCATGGGGGGGGGATTTGCACCTCACAGCTTCGCGCATCATCTGCTTGCTTCGGCCACTGCCCCCCCCCCCATAAACTCCTTCATTCACTCGCTGCTCCCGCTCCGAAGAGGCTCGAGCGTCGACGTGATCGCCTCTGGAAAGAGAGGATGCTCCGGCTACGGGCTGCCTCTCCCGGCCGCCGCCGCCGCCTCCTCCTCCTCCGCTCACGCGTCGTCCCTCCCCGCCCCGCCTTCTTAGTGGTCGGCCGGCTGGGTTACGCAGGAGCCGCCGCCAGCAGGAGCAGCAGTTAGCAGAGAGCTTTGACGCGCATCTCCAGAGAAGCAGCAGCAGCCCGTTGCAAGTAACCGGGAGCGAAAGGACGCGGAAGCCACCTGGACGGGAGAAGAGGGCAAGGACGACGACGGGGCGCCGGGGAACGACGGAGGGGGTGAAGGGAAAAGGCGAGGAGCCCGGGGGAAGGAAGGGCACAGAAAGCCGGGACTTGGCCCGGGCTCGGAAGCGGATGGATCCGTTTGCTCGCTCGCTGCAAGAGAGGGCGGGAAAGCCCGGGCAGCTCCTGCTCCCCCACGTGCCGAACGGCTTGTAATCCGCCTTGGGTTTCTTCTCCGAGCGCGCCAGTCGCTAGCAAGCAGCAAGTGCGGCGGCTCGCTTTTCTTCCGCGCTTCAGCATGAAGTAACGAGGACGGCAAAGTTTGGCGCGCAGTGGCGGCGGCGGCGCGCCTTCGAGGTGACGAGGCCGCCATGTCGGCCCCCGCCGGCTTGGACTTCGCGGCGGTGGAAAGTTTCCTGGACAGGCACCCGGAGCTGGTGGAGAAGTGGCTGAAGAGGAGGAGCTCCCTCCTCGCCCAAGCGGCTCCCGAGGCGGAGGAGCGGCCGGGCCACAGCAGCAACGGCACCCCGACGGCGCTGGGCGGCCCCGGCTCCTCTTTGGCGAAGGGCGGCCCCGTGGCCCCTCCGGAGACGGCGGCCGGCGGCCTGCAGCGCCGAGCGTCGCAGAAGGAGCTCCGGCGCAGTTTCGCGCGCTCCAAGGCCATCCACGTGAACCTGACTTACGACGAGCACGTCCACGCGCGGGCGCAGGAGCCGCTGAGCAGCGCGCGGAGAAGGGCGCTGCTGAGGAAAGCCAGCTCGCTGCCGCCCACCACGGCGCACATCCTGAGCGCGCTGCTGGAGTCCCGGGTGAACCTGCCGCAATACCCGCCCACCGCCCTGGACTACAAGCGCCACCTCAAGGAGCACAACGAGCGGCAGTTCTTCCTGGAGCTGGTCAAGGACATCTCCAACGACCTGGACCTGGGCGCCCTCAGCTACAAGATCCTCATCTTCGTGTGCCTCATGGTGGACGCCGACCGGGGCTCGCTCTTCCTGGTCGAAGGCGGCGCCGCCGCCGGCAAGAAGAGCCTGGTCTCCAAGGTCTTCGACGTGCACGCCGGCACCCCGCTGCTGCCTTGCTACAGCACCGAGAACTCCAACGAGGTGCAGGTCCCCTGGGGCAAAGGGATCATCGGCTACGTGGCCGAGCACGGAGAGACCGTCAACATCCCCGACGCCTACCAGGTAGGGAAGGGGCCGGGGGCGCGCGCTTGGGGGGGGGGCTCCTGGTTCTGCTGCTCGCCTTTCTGCACCCGAGGCGGCTTATGCTACAGCAGCCGTGCAAAGGCGAGCTCTCGCTGTCGTAGTAGTGAAACGGGAACAAACGCACTGGTGCACAGCATCAAGCTCTAAAGCTGATTGGCGAAACACTCAGGTATATTTGTGCACACACATACGCAAACGCAACTTAATAAATGCTCGTTTCAGCAGCATGGGAAGAGGACCATTCAAGACCTTTGCTTGCTCTCCAAAGCCAGGGCAGAGGTGGGGAGCCCAAATATTTGTTGGGCAGCATCAGTAATCATCTGTGATGGTGGTCTGTTGGGGGTAGGAGGAGCCCAGCATCATGGGGGGCAGGTAGGGGTTCCTCACCCTGGCTTAGAGGATTCATATGGGGGGGGGGGTCATGTGTAAGTTCCTTTTAAAAATACCACACAAGTAGTCAGCTGTACATTGCAGTTACTGTACTTGTTTAAGTTCAGTGTTGGTGTACTGAGTGGTCTCAGGAATGGACTTGAAGCAGGTGTGGGCTTGGCTTCTCTCCACACATTTATTAGGTGGCATGGGGTCGGGTGGGGTGAATTGTAAGGTTTTTAGTGGTTAGCATGGCCGTCAATGCCATGGATGGCACATTGTTTCTTCTCCATTCATTAACTGTTTCTTGTGCTTCAGTATTAAATATTCTCTCTGTGTAGTACAGTACAGTTATCTGTAAAATCAAAGGTCACTGGGTGGCTTTGAGAAAGTCCCTTGTCCTCACTTGCCTTGCTTAATTTGGCAGAGTTGTGAGACTTGAGTTCAGTCCTAGACATACCTTCTCAGAAGTAACTCTCGCTGAGTTCCATGAGGTTTACTTCCAGAGAAAGTGGTGGTTATACGTTGCATCCTAAAATACGTCTCTAATGTTCTCAGAGGAAGGAGAGGACACAGTCGTAGCAGGTAAACACACCATTCATTGCCTGAGCTGGCAAAATGCTTTTTAATTTCAGAATCTTATTTGAACCAAATTCTTAGTGCGCCCCTCATCAAATTCTTAGGAAGCACCATCAAGTTCTTAGATGGATGAGTACCTGAAATTTGTCTCCTACTTCGTCTAGGTCACACTTTTGTATGCTGTGATTCTTTCACACAAATCGACTTTGTGGTGGTGTAGATCAAGTCATAGTTTGGTTTTGTTATGAATAATTCAGCTTAGCATGAATTAACCCAAACTGAAAAAAAGCACTTGGCTACATGTATTTTATGACTCTTTCCTTATGGGACTTTTGATCCATGTTAGGGTTACTTCTTAAGTTTTATACTGAAGCTCATACCTGAAAGTATACAGGGTGTATACATGGGAGCATGTCAGTTAAAACTTATACATGTCCCTTCAAAATATACATGTGCAACTCACACAGTATATATATATTTTGCACTTGGTTGTCTTAATACTGTGTATGGAACATAAAAAAGTAGATGCTTAGTGATTGACACTTGGGAGCCTGGTGATAGTAGTTACTTCAGATTAATTAATTGGAGTAAAAGTGTGATCTTGTGTATGTGGCCATAATTGATGTTGCCAAAATTCTTTATTTTAAACACACTTTAAGAGTGTGATATAAAGTGGTTACTGTTTAGAATGGCTCATTCAGCATACTGGGACTTGAGTTGCAGTTTGTAGTGTGCTCTGGACAAATCTTAGGTAAAATGGACAAATATCAAAACAGTTCAATAAATAACCCCTAGGCCAGTAGCCATTGCCATGTTTTTGTGATAGTGAGATCCATAAATGAATTGCCGTATATGTTGTGCAAAGGATTTTATACTCTACCATATTCCCCTTTTGTCTTCTTTCTCCGTGCCTAAACAAAAAACACAACTCTGCTTGCTTTGTCTTTTCCTCATAGGAAATAGCTTCCACCCCTCAATAATTTTTACTGCCTTTTCTATCCTATCTGAGATGGAGGCAACCAGAGGTTTGTATTATCTTCCATCATAGATTTATAAAGGTGTAACAAGCACTAGCTGTTTCATTCTCAATGGCTTGCCTAATAATTCCCAGCGTGGAATTTTCCTTTTGCTCTGAGTTTTCACTCAGCTATCTTTGCACCACGACTTACCCCAAAGTATAGATTTTTGTTAGCCTCCTCTAGTTCGGAACCTTTAGCATATATGTTTTGCACAATTGTGTATTTCCAATCTCCCCCTTCACCCACTATTTACAGATCCTTTTAAGCTCTCCACAGTCTACTTGAGCTCTCACCACCATTCTGAACAATTTGACCCAGAAATTTTATGTCCTCTCTGCCTCCAGATCATTGATAAATAAAAAACCGAGTCTCAGTAGAGACCCTTAGGGAATTCTATACTTCCCCCACTGCAATTTGAGAGCTTTCCGTTTGGTCCTGTGCTCTGCTGCTTGCTGTTTAGAAGTTACTAATCCATAAAATGACCTGTTCTCAGAAGGCATGAATTCTAAGTTTGCTTACTTCTTGTAAGCAATTCTTTAACTTTCTCTAGCAAATAGTTTAAGTGAATCATAAGGTAAAATCATCAATCCTCATACAATGTTCCTCATTTTAGATACAAATCTATAAGGATAGTTGCAGAGCGTTTTTTTTTAATGAAGGTACTCCATGTCATGGAGTATTGTCGCCTCTTTTTTTCTGCCCATGGCAGCTATTTTGTGTTGGCATCCATGTCCCTGCACCTCTTTTTTTATAAGCAAAAAAAGCACAGGATAGTTGCAATTTATTTGGTACCTTGTTACCCTGTGAAATCACTGATATGGTGTAAGTCAGATAAAATGAATTGATTTGGGGGAAGTGATATAAAAGTAAACTCTTTTGTTTATTGAGTTTTAGACATGTTCATTGTAAAAAATCGGGGGGGGGGACCCTCCCCTGCAAGACATTTCATTTGGACACAGAGAGAACAGATGACGTGTGAAATACTCAGGACTAAGAACTGGGGCGAGATGCAATATTCATTAAATCTGTTCAGTATCGTATTCATTCTTTGCAAGTACAGCCCTTAGGTATTGGCGCATCTTCTAGTGTAGCTGGGTCACTGGTACGGAGTCTGGGCCAGACGATTGAAGAAGATTTCCCTCCTCTATTTCCAGATCTAAAGCAAGACTCATCTCTCACAAAGGATTCATCAGACTTCAAGGCAGGGGTGAAAAAACATTTTCAAACTGAGGGTTCAGGTGTATTGAAAAGCTGGGGGGGGGCATATCCCAATAGTGGGAGAGGCCAGACATGCACAATCACAGAGGCCCTTGATACATCGCCCACTTCTCTTGCTTTCTCAACAGCCACCAATTCCATCCAGCCAACATTCTGAAGTTTTGTTTTCTTCACTCTCCTGCATACAAAGTGCATCAGATTTCTGTTGACATTTTTCTGGGTTGTTGGCTTCCAGTAGCTCTCCTTGCTGTTGTCATGAGTCCCATGGAGATGTCCCAGAGGTGATGGTCTGATCCAGTGGAGAAATGGGAGGTGGCTGGGCAGTTGGAGCTGCACATCCTTGGGGAAGTTCCTAGTGGGATGGGGGAAGGTGAAATTGGGACCCCTAAGAAGTTTCTAAGCCCAAGGAGGGGGGCAACAGTCTAGAACAGCCTTTTCTAACCTTGGATCTCCAGATGTTCCTGAACTATGACTCCCATAATCAGTGCTGGCCATGATGGCTACCAGGGACGCGGACTTATAAAAAATATTGGGGGGGCCCGGGAAAGCTCATGAATAATAAATAAGCTCATGAATATGCAAATAAAGTGGCGCCGCCTCCTCGTGAGCGAATAGGGGAGAGCGTGCTGTGCCTATTAATCAGCTCCAAAGGAAATTGGGTGGAGCTTTTGCTCGGGAGGGAGGGCAGGAGGCATGCAGCCCGCCCCTCCCTGTGCATTTTGGGCTGGGGGAGGGGCGGCGATGGCGCTGTGCTGGAGGGGCGCCGGAGATTATTGGGGGGCAGAGCCCCCCCAAACGAATTTTTGAGGGGGCTCGGGCCCCCTCAAGCCCCATGGAGTCGGCGCCTATGATGGCTACAAATGATGGGAGTTGTAGTCCCATCTGCTCACTGATAGGAGGAGGCGGCACTGGAGGCAAATCCACAACAGGAGGTATCTGGCTAGGAGCGTCTGCATCCTTTCCCTCCATCCAGCTCTCTTTATACCAGCCTTTCTCAACCTTGAGTCCCCAGATGTTGTTGATTTGCCTCCAGTGCCGCCATCTCCTATCAGTGAGGAGTCCCCACCCCCAAAGTGACCAATAGTAAATTGGCTGCTGACTTGGCACCTACACTGCCCATGTCTCTCAAAAGCACAGGGATGAAGTTTGCATAAACTTCACAGTTCCTGCCCATTTGTGAGCCCCAGTCCTGGGATACAAAGAGGAGTCTTGGACAAGTCGTAAAAACAGTAATGCTTAATTTCTAAAGTCAAACAAGCTTGAGGCCCCAAACTTCCAAGTTAGCCCAGTCTCAAGTTGCCTTCTTTGTAATGGTAACTTCTTGTTGTTCAGGGCTGAATCCTGCCACTTGTGGAAGCAACCAGGTTCCTGGCAGTAGCAGCCATTCCTTTGTTTCTATAGCATCATATCCCCTCCTGCCCTGCGGGCTGCTTTAACCCTCTTTACCGCACCCACTGCCCTTTTATGCAGGGATGAGCACAATTCAGTGGTACCTCGGGTTAAGAACTTAATTCGTTCCAACAAGCAAATGTAAGATAAAGAAATGGAATATTGGATGTGTGGTTTCCCCCCCCCCCTGTTTTTTTGCTGTATTGTTGTATTGGTTTTTATGTATTTTTTTTCTTCCTTTTTTCCTTTCTATTTTTATGTATTGTAATGTATGTTTGGGACGCGGGTGGCGCTGTGGGTTAAAGCCTCAGCGCCTAGGACTTGCCGATCGAAAGGTCGGCGGTTCGAATCCCCGCAGCGGGGTGCGCTCCCGTCATTCGGTCCCAGTGCCTGCCAACCTAGCAG